ACACTTAACAAAACATATTTATTATAAAAATTCATCTTTATTTATTGAGTTTAATTTCATTTTACTGGATTATTTAATTTGCCTCAGTCTTGTAATTTAGGTTTTGAAAAATACGTTTATAATCGGCGGCAGTGATCAGTTTCACATTGTAACATTAGACGTAAATTGAACGTAAAAAGATGTTTTCATGTTAATACGACATTCATCCTGAGATCCTGAGAGCTGATAAGTTAATAAACTTATCAGCTCTCAGGAAGCTCTGAAGAGTTAAATAAACGGTAAAAAAAAAAGAAAGAAGAGCAACAAGAAAGAGTGAAAGTGTTAAACTTCACTCGGGATAAATAAAGTATCTATCTAACTAACTTCTGTAAACTTCTCTTTTCTTGTTGCTCCTCCCACGTTTATTTAACCCCCCTGGTAGCCTAACGTCACAACGCTATAAACTGTGGGTAATTCCTTCAGCCAGAGTCCGCAGAAATGTGGATTAAAGGGTCAAAATATCTTCCAGGAGCTCTCAAGCACAAATGGACATCGGGACAGACCTCATGGACTCACCGGGAACGCAGCTCAAAGTCTGAGAGAGTGGAGGTTTGATTATTTATAGCTAATCGTTGCTAATTTGCTGCGACGTTATGGAGTTCAGTTTTAACAGATTTACAGTATATTTATGGAAGAAAACAACCTTTTAATGGAGGTGAACCTGTCACATTACAACTACAGTAAACTAAACTTAGAGAAAGTCACCAGACTCCCTTTAAAAAATGGTCCACTCTTTATGCTAAGCTAAGCTGACTCCACTGATCCAAGAGTTGTTGAAATGTTTTGGATGAATTGTTGTTTAGCTTTATATCTTTTTAATATAGAAACAATGACATCATGCACATTTTTTAAAACACTGAAATAATTAAATTTTTAACTTTATTAGAAACATGTTGAAATGAAATTTAGACTTTTAGGCCAAATCGACTTGATAATATAAATATTTTATCTTTAAACAGGATCAAAAAGTTCTTAAGGAAACAGATTTATTTAGATTTTTGGTATAAATATAATAAATGAGTGCAGATAAACCGTCTCTACAGTCGGATATCTTCTTCAGAGAGAACCAGAACATGAGCCAGGCTAGCTGTTTCCCCCTGCTTCCACTCTTTATGCTAAGCTAAGCTAACTGCAGCTCTGTGCGGACTGGTTGAACCTCTGGCCATCAGAGCTGATGGACCACAGTGAGTCTGTAATGATTGGAGCGTCTGAGGATGGATCTGTACAATGAAACGGGGGAATGTAAATGTGATTTATCCCTTCGTGCCAACAACCATCAGGCTGTGCTGGATCGCTGCCTCGCTCTCTCTCTCTCTCTCTCTCTCTCTCCCGCTCTCTCTCGCTCTCTCTCTCCCGCTCTCTCTCTCGCCTCCTTCTCCTTGTTTTTCTCCAGCTGATGTTAATGGATTCGGCCCAGAGCGTGAATGCATGAATGCATGGAGGATGTTAGTGGGTTAGTGGAGGAGGAGGAGGATGGACAGGGGGACAGTCAGAGGAGGTGAACAATGCGTGGCGGTGTTCAGTCCACACACACACACACACACACACACACACACACACTCGGAGCCTCGGCGGAGGGAAACTGAAGCTCAGCTCGCCAGGCGAGATTGCGAGCCCACCTTTTTGTTTGGTCGCCAGGGAACGACAACATCAACCTGGCAGCGGAGACGAGCTCGATACCTTCTAAACGAGTCTCGCGGACTTCGGCGAGCGCTTTGATACGGAGCAGAACAATGGAGCGCTCCCCGCGGGCGAGTTTGACTTCCACGGTCTCCGAAAACCACCTTGCGGCCTTCTGAGCACGGCGGCTTCCGACTCGAGGCGAGTTAATCGAGGAAAGTTTCAGAGGCAACGCTGACGGAGAACTAACTGGAGCTTCACTGCTTCTTCATTGTTTTTATCCTGCTCAGCCCACAGGAAAGCCTCCAGTTTTTCAACTTGGAGCTTCATTTTTTGAGCTCCGTTATCAATAATATCTCAATATCGGGAACGATCGAGAAACAAACACAACGTTAAATTAACTCTCTGACCGGACAACTATAAAATGTATGGACGTATTTCGCTGATACACTATACGTCAATGAGCTAAATCAGATGATTCCTGTTTACGACTGAATTCATTAATCAATTATTGCTACGATTCAGATAGTTTCCAACGAAGGAGACAGTTTTTCAAATCTAAAATCTGTTCAAAATCAACAAACGCTCCAAAAAGAATATCAGGAACGAGTCGATTTTTTCAACGCAAGAATTTTAATTGACCCCTTCTTTAAGCCCGCCCCTTTTTCACTCTGTGCTCCAATCACAGTTTGAGGCAAGAACGCTCGATCAACTTCCTGCTGTTCCTGTGGTTTAAATATGCTAATATGCTAAGCTAATCTTATGTTTGGAAAGACAACCACAGTTTGAAGATTGTTAAAAGATAAAAAGAAACAAATATAAGTCACATGTTAAGTTAACTATGTTTACTGCAAACAATCCGTTAATCAGTTCGTTAGTTAATGTTGGTTAAACAATATTTATTTCATTTTAACGATTGTGTCGATGCCAAACCGCTATTATGTTTTTTAAATCTTTTTAACAAGCAAAAGTGACGCAGCTTAATGTTAGCTTCGCTAGTTACTGTTTAGCTAGCTTAGTAGCATTTGATCTAATGAATCATTTAGCTTATGTTTAAGCTAATGGGGCTAATTTAAACAGACTAACATTGAAATTTAAGCTAGGTAAGTTAGCTAATGTTTTGCTAAACTTCAGATTGTGACTGTTATATTATTTGGTTCTTTTATCTTTTATATCATCTTCAACTGAAGAACATAGATTAGCCTAGCATAAGCATATCTAAGTAACAAGGAGGAAGGAGGAGTTATGTTAATTGTAGCTCAGAAACAAAAAAGGGCGGGGCTTAGAGAGGATCAGTTTGTCATCGTGTCTCGATGCAGCAACAAAAAAGGGGCGGGCTTGTAAAGGTCAATTACAGTCACAACGATTAGAGGCGGTGAAGTTCAGAGCGAAATGAACGGTGTGTTTCAAGATGGATGAGGTTTGTCGTGTTTGAAATGTTTAATGGACTCAACTTGCGTAAGCAAGAGTTGGGTGGAGCGTTTGAGGAGCTGGGGGATACGGGGACGGCCCAAGAGTTTGGTCAATGACCGGCGGCGTAATCGCGTTCAATCGGTGGAACGTGATGGTGTTGTGTTTTGGACTGCTGAGGATGGACGCTTCGGCAGTAGCCGCGAGGAGACCCACGCTGGTTCGAGTTACGGGAAGTAACCTGCGGGAAGAAACACGACAACTTTCAAAGGGAGGAAACTGAATTAGCTTTTACTTGCTTAGCTTAGCACCAAATAACAAGCAAGGCGAAACTGAAACTCAGAAGAAAGAAAAAAACCCAAACTGTGCAGATTGACAAAATGTTTAGTGTTGAGTGGAGTGTGTGTAAATTGTGTGTGTGTGTGTGTCTGTGTGTGTCTGTGTGTGTATGAGTGTGTGTGTGTGTCTGTGTGTGTCTGTGTGTGTGTTGTGTGTCTGTGTGTGTCTGTGTGTGTCTTGGTGTGTGTGAGTGTGTGAGTGTGTGTATGAAGTGTGTGAGAGTGTGTGAGTGTGTTGTATGAGTGTAGTTGTGTTGTTGTGTGTGAGTGTGAGAGTGTGTGTGGTGTGTCTGTGTGTGTGAAGTGTATGAAGTGTGTGTGTGTGTGTGTGTGTGTGAGTGTATGAGTGTGTGGTTGTGTGTGTGTGTTTGTGTGAGTTGTGTTGAGTGTGGTGTGTGTTGCCCCCTCGCTGTGACCACTTTCAGCAGTGACATCATCACGGCTGTTCGTTTGGCCGGTCTCCTTGTTACCCGACAAAGCTTCGCCTCCCTGCAGGACAAGTCTTGCCCTTCATCTCTCACCTCGCTGTACTTACATTAACTCCCCCCCAGCAACTGAATACCAACGCTCCCCGCAGCAACTCAGCTGACCTCTGACCCTGCTCCTGAGGCTCCTGAGTTTCCCACCGACCCGGGCCGAGCGGAGCCAACAGTGTTGCCAAGTAAGGCACATTACATCTTCCCCCTCCCCCTCCACTCCCACCCTCGTCCACTTTCCCCCACTTCCTGGTTTCGGGCCACACGCAATTTCCCAGCAGGAAGCGTCTGATGGAGCGCGTTGCCCGGGGAACGAGGGCGAGGAGAGGCGGCGATGGAAAGCACATGTGGCAGAGCAGAGGAGCGCGTCGCACTTGAGCGGCTCTCTAAACAAAGAGAGACGTTCTTGTAAACAAACGGGAACTGTTTGTGTTGGTGCGTTCCTCGGCCGTCCTCGTGGTCGTCCTCGGCGCGTCCTCGCCGTCCTCGCGTCCACAGCAGGCGTTGGGAAGGCAGAATCACTCCTTTGCGACCCTCACACTGACGGCTTCGAATGGAAACATGTGCTCGCTTGCAGAGGCACGTTGCACTGCGAGCGCTGATTAATGGCCGAGTTCCCGCAGTTTGTTTCAACAGTTTTGTAATGTTAGTGCTCCCACTAAGACTTCACATGATGTCACTCCGTTATTGATCTGATATTGATCTGATATTGGCTCCTGATTAACGAACATGTTGGCTCTGTGGCGCTCAATGAACTTTATACAGAATTTAGCCAGTTATCTGAAAGTAAAATGTTCGCGAAAATAGTAAGCTGAAAGAGTTTTTTAATATATTGAGTTATTGTTTTCTGCTTGATCCTCCTCTCAACAAA